AATACAGAAAGTATCATTACTCCCTGAGGCGGAATATTTACAGAACAGTTATAAAGCCGTATTAGCAGCAACTGCATCGAATGCTATGGTTTAGCTTCAGGTGTATTTTGATTTATAGCTGTACAGCCAGAGGAAGCTCAAGACCTTGAAGATTATGAATAAGCAGAACTGTGTAAAGAAGCTTCAAAATTCAACTCAAACTCTTATGGGAGCTCAGTATTTATAGGAACCCTGAAATAATAAAGCAAGTAAACCCTTGTCTAGATTTAAGGATTCAGCATTTTGATTTTTAGGTTATTTTAAAATGTGTAACAACTATCTAAAGGGCACGGCAGCTCTAAGTGCCCTCACATCTGTGTAAGAAGGGAAGGCACTCTACCGACGGGGTGGGGTTGGGTAGGGAACCCCACCTAACTGGAGGAGGAACAGGCACAACAAAGGCGTGTTCTCATCCAAGGTCATGAAACAGTGGAATGTGGATGCGATCACAGGGAATCCAAGAGTTCAGACTCCCAGGAGAGAAATTCAAAACGGTAACTCATACCCTCCTTTTAATTTAGAGCCATCAATTGTCATTCATAATATCAGTTTTGCATCCATACTGGTATATGGTAGAGGCATAAAATCAAAGTATCACTAAAGCACATTTTTTCAAATGTAAAATGTTCCAATTTCACGTTAGCAACGAGGGGGGAGAAAACGATGCCAACGCCAGCCCAGCCCAGCCGTCCTTAAGTGGGGCTTGTTACATCACTTCCCTGCAAGCGGACCTCCTCCTGTCTGTAACGCTCCCTCGTTCTTTGCACAGGAGGGTTCCCAGGACAGGGGAGGACAGGGAAACTACAAGGGGCTGGGAAGGGCTCAAAATCACTACGGGGACAGAAGAAAGAGCACACAGCTCACGAACATTCGGGAAGGAGGAAGGCCAACGGGAAGACGGCAAGGAATTTCCTCACACTAGAAGCCCCCTCTCCCTTACAGCCACGGTGGCAAGCGACACCCCGAGTGAACACAACCTGACTGGGAATGACCCCAGCAG